AGTTTCAGCGTGTCTGCGATTGCGTGCATGCGTATGTGTATGTGTATGTGAGCAACGGTTGAAGAGTGTACATGTGCGTGAGTTTGAGTAGGTGAATGTGTGTCTGTATCTGTGTGATCATGTTGTGTGTGACGCTGTTTGTGGGTTGGGGCACATGAAGATGTGCCAGTTTATGTGCCAGAATGTGTACTTGTGTGTGTCTGTGATTGTGTGAGTGTGTCTGGGATGTTTTGATATGTTTAAGTGTACATGCGTGTGTGAATTTGAGTAGGTCAATTTGTGTCTGTGTCTGTGTGATCATGCTTGTGTGTGACGCTGTTTGTTGGTTGGGGCACATGAAGATGTGCCAGTTTATGTGCCAGAATGTGTACTTCAGTGTGTCTGTGATTGTGTGCGTGTGTCTGGGATGTTTTGATATGTTCAAGTGTACATGGGTTTGTGAGTTGGAGTGAGTGATTACGTGTGTGTGTGTGTGTGTGTGCTGGGAGGACGGAAGCAGTGTCAAAGAGATAACAGTCGAGTCAGTTTAGTCCTCTCTTCCACGCAGTTGCAGCCATTCAGAGTGTGTGTGTTTTTCTTTTGGGATCGCTGCCCCACGAAAGAGGCAAGACGTCGGGCCTGTGCTAAAGACCGGCCTCGCTTGACAAGTTGCCTCGGTCGTTTCAGGCCACAAATGTGCCGCCCATTTGCGCCAGCCACGGCCGACATGTCCCCCACTCGGCCCATCCCAGCTCGGCCAAGGTACAGAAGCACTTATCCACTTTTCCCACCCTCTGCCCGGCCCGACTGACGCCCCTCCACCCCTCCGCTTGTCTCCGGTCGGATGAGCCAATCGACGCCGAAGCCGAGGCCGAGGCCGAGGCCGTAGATGCCGTCCCAGCTCTCGAGCAGTCTCATTTGATTTCCGTCTTTTTGGGATAACAACAATATTTACCCAATCTGCTATCGCAAAAGCGATGCCTCTCTAACACTCCAGGCCCACTGGTCGAGTTGATGTACCCTTCATCGCTCTTCATCTACCCAACTTCCTCCTCCTTCACTTCCCCCCCCCGCCCTCGTCCATCCGCCTACACATTTAGACCCACCTCCGTCCACACACAGCACGGCCAGGTAGTAATTTATGTGACGTGTGTTCGCCCTATTTCCTTTGATATGATCAACGACTGGTTATTCCAGTTTCACACAATCGCATCAGTAGAGCTGACGCTGCCGTTGCATTTCACATGACCTTCTCATTCACGCCGCAGTCGACTGCAGCACGTAAAGCGGGACTCGAACCATGACAATGCACCATGTAGTCTTCGCACGTTAATCAACACGGCCCATGACCGTGATGGTCCTGGGTCAGACGAGAGATGTGAAAAGACATTTTCCCATATCACATTCTTTGGTGAAATTGACAATGAAGCAAAGTTATATTTACTATGACAATCAACTATACTACTCACTTTTCGTTAGTAAGTAGGCTATCAATTAAAATAGATGTATTCACCATATTTCGTTTAAGGTAATACAGGACTGGTAATTCCAGTTTCACACAATCGCATCAGTAGAGCTGACGCTGCCATTGCATTTCACAAACGGTCTTCTCATTCGCGCCGCAGTCGACTGCAGTTGCCACCTCGCCACGGT